CACAGGATGTGGAAATTATCAAACAATATCATTAATATTCCATGCAAGTAAAATCTTACTGAAGATAATTCAAGAACAGTTGCAGCAGTATATTTACAGAGAACTTCCAGAGGTGCAACCTGGATTCAGAAGAGGACGTGGAATGAGGGATATCATAGCTGCTGTCAAGATGGATCTTGGCTCAAAGCAAAGAATACCAGAAAGAGGTTTAGTTGTGTTTTATTGACTATGCAAAAGCATTTGATCATGTGGATCATAAAAATTGTGGATAACAATGAGAAGAATGGGAATTCCAAAACACTTAATTGCGCTCATGAGCAATCTGTACACTGACAAGAAGGTTGTTGTTCAAACAGAACAAAGGGACACTGCATGGTTGAAAATCAAGAAGGGAGTGTGTAAGGGTTGTATCCTTCCACCATACTTATTCAATCTGTATGCCAAGCCAATAATCCGAGAAGCTGGACTATATGAAGAAGAACGTGGCATCAAGATTTGAGGAAGAATTATTAACACCCTGCAATATGCTGACAACACAACTTTGCTTGCTGAAAGTGAGGATGACTTGAGGCACTCACTGACGAAGATTGAAGAATACAGTCTGCAATATTGATTACATCTCAATATAAAGAAAACAAATATCCTCACAAATGGACCTATAAGCAACTTCTTGATAAATGGAGAAAAGATTGAAGTTGTCAAGGAGTTCACATTGCTCGGTTCTACAATCGATGCCAATGGAAGCAGCAATCAGGACATTAGATGACACATAGCACTGGGCAAGTTGGCTGCAAGGGACTTCTTTTAAGTGCTGAGGAGCAAGGATGTCTCCTTGAGGACTAAGGTACATCTGACACAAGCCATGATATTTTCAATCGCCTCGTATGCATGTGAGAGCTGGACAATGAATAAAGAAGACCGAAGAAGAATTAATGCTTTTGAGTTGTGGTGCTGGCGAGGAATGCTGAAAGTACCATGGACTGCTAAAAGAACTAACAAATCTGCCCAGGAGGAAGTGCTGCCGGAATGCTCCTTGGAAGCGAGAATGGCCAGACTTCGTCTCACCTACTTTGGTCATGTTGTCAGAAGGGCCCACTCGCTGGAGAAGGATGTCAAGTTTGGTAAAGTGGAGGGTCGATGAAAGAGGGGAAGGCCTTCAACAAGATGGACTGACACAGTAGCTGTGACGATGGGCTCAAGTATAGCAAGAATCATAGAGCTGGTGTGGGACTGGGCAGTATTTCGTTCTGCTGTTCGTAGGGTTGCTAAGAGTCAGACACAACTCGACAGTCCTAACAACAACAGCACCATGTGTAGCACTGGCAAATATGCATGTACAAATATCCACCACCATACCCATATATATATGGGGGTGTACTCCTGTATGACTTCCTTAACCTATTTAGAATACATATTTACCTGTGTATCTACTCATAAATTATGGTTAGTTATCATGGCTGCTGCAGAATTGTATATGCACTGCATTTACCAAAGTTTGTCCTTTATTCTTGTGTACTGCAATGTCTCCCTTTGCCTCAGTCATGTTGTGCTGACTTCTCCCACACTGTGCACTATCTTTCCCTTCATCAAAACTAACTCTTGCTACTATCTAGCTCTGAAGCAGCAGAAGGAGTGTGCATGTGGGCAGCAGGCTACAATAAGCCAGGCCCAGAAACAGCGGAAGGTGAGGTTTTAAGTGTGTGGAGGCAGGCTGCAGTAAGCCAGCCATGGGAGCAGCGGAAGGCGGGTGTTTGTGTACATGGAAGCAGGCTGCAGTAAGCCAGCTCTGAGAGCACCAGAAGGTGGATATTTGTGTGTGTGGAAGCAGGCCACACTAAGCCAGCCCTAGGAGTAGCTCAAGGTGAGTGTGTGCGTGGAGCACCCTGGGGGCAGGACACAGTAAGTCAACCTGGGAGCAGCAAAAGATGGATGTTTGCACTACAGGAAAAGGCTAGGTAAGTGAACAGGGTGGGGGAGACTAGGAAATGAGCAGAGCAGTTTGGAACAGCTAAAGGAGACAAACTTGTCTGTCTGTTTGTCACATTGTGGTGGCTTGAGTATTGTTGTAAGGCTGGAAGCTATGCCACTGGTGTTTCAAATGCCAGCAGAGTTACCCTTGATGGACAGGTTTCAGCGGAACTTCCAGACTAAGACAGACTCAGAAGAAGGAAGAGATCATCTACTTCTCAAAGAATTGGCCAGTGACAACCTTATGAACAGCAGTGAAACACTGTCTGATATACTTTTGGAAAACTTTATGAATAGCCCTGAAACACTGTGTGATATAGTGCTGGAAGATGAGCTCCTCAGGATGGAAGGCACTCAAAATATGACTGGGAAGAGCAGCCTCCTCAGAGTAGAGCCGAGCTTAAAGATGTGGATGGAGTAAAATTTTCAGGACCTCCATTTGCTGATGTGGCATGACTCAAAATGGGAAGAAACAGCTGCCAACATCCATTAAAAATTTGAACATACAAAGTATGAATCTAGGAGAATTGGAAGTTGTCAAAAATGAAATGGAACACATAAATATCAATATCCTAGGCATTAGTGAGCTTAAACATACTCATTTTGGTCATTTTGAATCAGACAACCATGTGATCTACTAGGCCAGGAATGACAAATTGAAAAAGAATAACGTGGCATTCATTATCACAAAGACTGTATCAAGATCTATCCTGAAGTACAATGTTGTCAGTGATAGGATAATATCCATATGCCTACAAGGAAGACCAGTTAATATTACTTTTCAAATTTATGCACCAACCACCAAAGCCAAAGATGAGGAAATTGAAGACTTTTACCAACTTCTGCAGTCTGAAATTCACTGAACATGCAATCAAGATATGATAATTATCACTGGTGACTGGAATGCAAAAGTTGGAAACAAAGAAGAATCACCAGTAGTTAAAAAATATGACCTTAGTGACAGAAATGACACTGGAATTCACATTACAGAATACTGCAAGACCAACGACATTTATTGCAAATACTTTTTTTTACTAACATAAATGGTGGCTATACACATGGACTTCGCCAGATGGAATACACAGGAATCAGATTGACTACATCTGTGGAAAGAGGCAATGGAGAGGCTCAATATCTTCAGCCAAAACAAGGCCAGGAGCTGACTGTGAAACAGACCATCAACTACTCATATGCCAGTTCAAGTTGAAGCTGAAGACAATTAAAACAAGTCCAAGAGAGCCAAAATATGACCTTGATTATATCCTTCCTGAATTAGAGACCATCTAAAGAACAGATTTGATGCATTGAACATCAATGACCAAAAACCAGGAAAAATGTGGGATGACATCAAGAACATCATCCATGGAGAAAGCAAGAGCTCATTTTTAAAAAGACAGGAAAGGAAGAAAAGACCAACATGGATGTGACAAGAAACTCTGAAACTTGCCCTTGAATGGAGAGTAGTTAACCGGGATGGAAGAATCGACAGGATAAAAGAGCTGAACAAAAGACTGCAAAGAGCAGCTCGAGAAGACAAAGTCAGCTATTATACTGAAATGTGCAAAGACCTGGAGTTGGAAAACCAGAATGGAAGAACACACTTGACATTGCTCAAGCTGAAAGAACTGAGGAAAAATTTAAGCCTCGAATTGCAATACTGAAAGATTCTGTGGGTAATATGTTGAACGATGCAGGAAACATCCAAAGAAGATTGACAGAATACACAGAATCACTATACCAAAAAGAATTGGTAGATTATCACCCATTTCAGGAGGTGGCATATGGTCAAGAAACAATAGTACTGAAGGAAGACGTCGAAGCTGCACTAAAGGAACTGGTGAAAAACAAGGCTCCAGGAATTGATGGAATACCCATTGAGATGTTTCAACAAATGTATGCTGTGCTGGAGGAACTCATCAAATAAGTTTTTTAAATAATATGTTCAGAAATAAATTACATGGTAAGTACTTAAAGTAAATGTCAAACATAATTCATTAATTAGTAAACCAAAGGTATCAAAACAGGCAAGTGATAAGGTAAATATTATAACTCAAACACCCTGATTATTTTCATCCTAGAACTCATTAGACACATATTTATCTCACTAAACCTTTATTCACAAATCATAGTTTCCTTATTTTAAAGATGAACTATAAAATAAAACATATTAGTTATATTTTAGGTAAGTAACAAAAAATGTTTTATAAAATATCTTTAGTTCTTTATTTTCATACACTATTATGCTATAAAAGATCAAAATGTTTTTGAGCCAAAGGAAATAATGCCATTAAACAAGAACAATAAGCAAAGAAAAACAGGTATTTGATCTTCCTACACTTATCAACATGATCAGTGGCTAATGAAATGTTTGGCTAAAGCACTTGACTGCTAACCAGAAGGCTGGCGGTTCAAACCCACCAGCCACTCCTCGGAAGGAAGGTTGGGCAATCCTACTTCCATAGTGATACTGCCTCGGAAACCCAAGGAGGGGTCGCTATGAGTCAGGGCTGACTCCACGGCATGTAACAACAACAACACATTATTTACAACATTTGGTAAATTTACTCTCCCAATGAAACTAGAGGAACTCCATTTAATGTCTTCTTATAGTGTATGTAAGAAAACAGGTTTAAAGAAGAAACATAAACACACTTTTCACTTTTAAAGCAAAATAAACAGAAAGCACAGGAAATACCACAGTTGTTGCTATTGTTGTTTCTAAAATGACAATAAACAAAACTCAAATGCATAAAGAGATAAAGTAGGATTTTATTAGATCTAAGGCTATATTAGTAAAAACACCACATTTTAGAATACAGTATGCAGATTTGGTATCTGGCATCTTTCCCAAGAAAATGTAATTTAATATAGTGCCATTCCTATTTTAAAAGTAAAATATCTGCTTTTCGAAGGGAGTTAGAAAAACTTTCTATTCAATAGGAAAGCATCTGGCAAAGAAAGCCAAAAACACAACTGTCAAATAATCTCAACAGTAAATTTACAATAACATGATTATAGTTAGATCTACTTACAAGTGAATCTGCATCAGGACATTCCCTATTAAGAAAAACAAAATATTAGAAATATACAGCTATTAGAACAGTATGCTAACTACATTTAAACATACCTAGGCATAGTGGCTAAGGCACTTGACTGCTAACCAGAAGGCTGGCGGTTCAAACCCACCAGCCACTCCTCGGAAGGAAGGTTGGGCAATCCTACTTCCGTAGTGATACTGCCTCGGAAACCCAAGGAGGGGTCGCTATGAGTCAGGGCTGACTCGACGGCACATAACAACAACAACAACAGGCATTGAAACATAACTTTCTTATTAAACTCTACAAAAACATTTTGAGAAATCAAAATATGAAGATTAAAATTCACCAAATTATTTAAAAATTCTTAAATGGTTTCCTATTATAATTCATGACAAAATAAAACACAAATAGCTTACAAGTATTTTAAAATTGCTTTTTCATAAGCTTCATATCAAGAAAGTTTTCAGTCTAGGGAGGAAATGGGAAAGAGGAGTTATTGGCTTAACGGACACAGAGTTTCTGTTTGGGTTGATGATAAAGTTTTGTGAATACAGGAGTGATGGTAGGACAATTTTGTAAATGTTAATGACACTGAACTGTATACTTAAAATGGCAATTTTTTGTCATATGGTATGTATTTTGCCACAACAAACCAAAACAAACTCACTGCCATTGAGTCGATTCTGACTCATAGTGACCCTGTCAGGTTTCCAAGGCAGTAAATCTTTACAGAAGTAGATGGCCCAGTCTGCCTTCCACAGAGTGGCTGGTGAGTTTGAACTGCCAACCTTCTGGTTAGCAGTCAAATGTCTTAGGCATTATACCACCAGAGCTCCTTTTTGCCATTACAGATTTTTAAAAAGAAAGCAGCCTTTCCAGCCTACCCTCCTACTTTCACTAAGCCAGGTCAGGAGGTCAGCAGCAGAGCTGATACACATTGATTTCATGTTGAGATGATAATTTCTGCTGTCATTTGCCACCCTCAAGTTGGCCCCCAATTCATGGTGACCCCACGCATAACGAGAGTGGACTGTGATCAGTACGGTTCTTTTTTTGTAGTTGTAAAAATCATAGGGTTTCACTGGCTGATTTCCAGAAGTAGATTGTCAGATACAGTATTTTGTATATATTGGGTGAAGTAAAATATATTATTTAAGTTTAAGAAAAAAAAAAAGAGGGAGATATCAGGTTCCATCCCCTTAGGAAAGTACTTCCTTCTTAAAAGCTCAAGAAAAACATTTGTGGAAAAGATGTTCACTTTAGATATAAATCACTTTGCAGTTGATCGTAATTTGTTAACCAAATACCACCTAGGAGGAGGAAGAAACTGGAGAAACTCAGATGACAGAAATATATTAGACAGAAGGTGAAACTACTATTTGTCTACCAGTTTATCTTACTATGGTGGCTTGTCTATTGCTTTGACCCTGGTAGCTATGCTACCAATATTTCTATTATCAGCAGGGTCACTCCAGTCAAAGACAGACTAGGAAAAAAAGACCTGGTGATCTGAAAAATTAGCCAATGAAACCTTATGGATCACAACAGAATGTTGTCCAACATAGTGCTGGAAGATTAGGCCCCGGTGATGGAAAGGGTGGTTAAGTTAAGGTTATGTGTCAACTTGGCTGGGCCTGGTTTTGAGTGGCTAGGCAGCTGTTATTCCCCATGATGAGACTGGCAAGCAACACCATGGTGGAATCTGCCATGAGCAGCTGAGTAGCTGCTTTAGGGATGTGATCTGCCTCCAGTATATAAGGAGAAGCTTTGAGGAAGGTCGCCAGCTTTTGGCACACCTGAATCTTGCATATAGCCGAGTTGTTGTTCAGCAGCCTGCCATGTTGTCTGCCAATCTTGGGACTCTTAATGGACTTGAATCAGTGGCCTGTTGTATGGTTTGGAAATGTTGGGACTGTGCCTTTTTACTTGCCGACCTTGGGTTTGTCAGCCTCAGCAGCCAGTGGCTACCTGAGTAACGAGACACCTCCAGCTCCAGTAGACTGGGAGCAAGAGGCAGAGCTGAAGCCCAAGGTCGAGGGGCTTTCACCTGGTCCCTAGAGCGTGGCACTTTGAACTTGGACTTCTGGACTCCAAAACTGAGAAAATAAACTCTTATTTTTTAAAGCCAATCGATTTGTGGTATTTTGTTAGAGTAGCACAAAGTAACCAAAACAGAAGGTACTCAAAATACACAGTGGTCACAGCCATGGACTGAAGCATAGCACCAATCGTGAAGATAGTGCAGAACTGGGAAATGTTTCATTCTGTTGTACATAGGGTCACCACCAGCCAGAGCCAACACTAATAACAAGAAGCAAATACCCAAAACAAAACTTGGTCTCTTCAGTTGACAATATGAAGGCCCATTAAAATATTAAATGTCATGGGAGTTACACTAATAATGTTAGAGAATAGAGATTTTAAATTAATTTTTAGCCAATTTTACTGGCTTAAGATTTTTTATTAGTTTCTCTTCAGTCTAAATGAGTGATTATAGAAAGAAAGATTCCTTTAACTCTAGTACATCTCTGATTAATCATAGTGCAATGATTCTCAACCACAAGTGCACATTAGGAAGCACATGGGCTACTTAAAAAGAAAAATAAAACTATGCTGGGGGCTTACTAACAGAGAATCTGATTTAACTGTTCTGAGTTGGGGACTAAGCACAGGTATATTTAATTTCCCTTTATTTCAGTCTTAATATTTAGCCAACACTGAAAGCTCTCTTTAGTTAATACTAGTTCAACATCTTATGTGCTACTTATATATTTTTTGCATACTAATTTCTTATTTTTTAATAAAAGGTAAATCTGATTTAGAAATGGATCAAATATTCCATCTAAAAATGATGACCTAGTACAAACAGTAAAACACGTAGGGCTTTTTTTTCCCTCTCTAACATTTTCCATTTATGGAACACACATCACTGTGTGTCTGTCTATATGCACAGAGTTGTCTAGAAGAATTTTTACCAAACTGTAAGCCTTTGAATTTCTCTTAGCCATTAAGATTGTGAAATTTTTTAGTTTTTTCTGTACTTTTAATTTTTAAAAATATGCATGTATCATTTTATTAAAAAGGAAGTATTTACAATTTTTAAAAACCTTTCATCTACTATGATTAAACTTTTAGTAAGAAGAAAAGATAGTGTTTTGAACTAAAATCAGAGAAACTGAAAAATATGTTTATTTAGAAAGGCTTTTATTTTTTCACATCTTAGACACAGGAACTTTGAGTTATTTCCAAAAGAATTTTGCTTCCCAAATTCAAAATGACTGTTTATTCTTAATCATTTGGAACAATGAAAATGATTTCGACAATATTAATATACTTACACAGATTCTGCATCCTTTTCCTTTTTAATTATTCCTGGCAAAGCAAATGTCTTTCTTTTCCTTGGTTTTATACCTTTAAAAAAATGCATATTGTTATAAAAGCATATTCCTGATAAAAATATATTAAACTTAATGAACATATCTTGTATTTGACAGGTAATTTGTCCATAACCACCAAAGCTAAATATGGAAAAGGAAATAAAAGTATCAAACACTAAATCCCAATATATAAACCACAGTCACAGTCTAATGAATATACTTTTCCTATATATTTAAAAAAAAAAAAAAGAAAATGAAAAAAACAAACTCACTGCCATCAAGTTGATTCCGACTCATAGCGACCCCCTTCGGGTTTCCGAGGTAGTAAATCTTTACAGAAGTAGGTTGCCCAGTCTTCCTTCCACAGAGTGGCTGGTGTGTTTGAACCACCAACCTTCTGGATAGCAGTCAAATGCCTTAGGCACTATGCCACCAGAGCTCCTTTTTCCTATATAGTAGTCTATTACTCATCAAAAGGTTACAGAACATTCACTTGATCACTGAAATTCTCCTCCTAAATCTTCCCTAAGTCACCACAGGCAAAGCAAGCATATGCAAGTATCTTAAATCTTCAAAAAAAACATGTTTTCATTATATTAGATTTTTTTAATAAATGTAGGTCAAATGATATTCCCTGTCTAGAGTCACAATACATAGATGTATTGTTTTAAATAAAAAGATGACCAGGCAAATCCAATTAGCAGTATAACACGGAAAGCCTACAATATGGCATTCTTGTGTCTATATGTTATCTCATATATAAATAATATTATGAATGAGTCACCATAACTAAGGAGCAAGTATCATCTTTCTTTTTCCTAATATGGCAGTTCTTCCTTCTCTTACTGCATGACAAATTATCTTTTAAAGGTCACTCATGCTATTAATTGTTGATGGAAGTCAGCACTTAAAACTTACCTGCTTATACTTTTAATACTAGAGCAGTAAGAGACTTCAGGTTACACTTACACTAACCCCCTCATTTTACAGGTGAGGAAACTCAAGGTCTATTTTTTCCTTTGACTCACTATTACAGGTTCAATTATCAGCCAACGCACCTCAGGTGCATCCACCACCCACCCATCTGTCATTGGAGACTTGCATATTGTTATGATGCTAAACAGGTTTTAGCAGAGCTTTCAGATTAAAACTGACTAGGAAGAAAGACCTAGTGATCTACTTCCAAAAATAATGTACTTACCATCATGCAAAACTGTCGCCCTAGACCATACAAATATACAACATGTTACGATGTTTTTCAAATCAAACACATTTTTATTCTCAGAGAGTATTATTTATTATCCTCACCTTACAACAAAGAAAACTGAAGTATAGAAACTTAATTACTGCTCTCAAATAGCTAGTGACTACAAGAAGCCTAGGTCCCAGGGCTCCTGACTATTTCAATAATCAGCTTACACATGATAGCAAAATTCTTAAATGAGCCTTGAAAGAAAAACAGGAGACTGCTTCCAAATTATTTCTAGTAGCTTACAAAGTAAGATATATAAAACATGAACAAAAACAGCAGGCATTTTTTGGATGTCATACTATAAAAACTACCTACTTAAACAGAAGTCAGGCTGGTTGTGAACCCTTCCTCCAAATCATCACCCATTGTGAATTGTGGTAATATTAATATTAACAAGTAACATCATTAATTACTAAAATGTTGCTCAGTGTAGAATAAACATTATATATTAATATGTAGTGGTAAGTTTCACATGCATGATATTGCAAGGCATAGGAATGGCTGTCAATGGAGAAACAAATTTCACTATTTATTTGAAAATAATTATATATTATATTTGTTGTTGTTATGTGCCGTCGAGTCGGCCCCGACTCATAGCGACCCCTCCTTGGGTTTCCAAGGCAGTATCACTATGGAAGTAGGATTGCCCAACCTTCCTTCCGAGGAGTGGCTGGTGGGTTTGAACCGCCAGCCTTCTGGTGAGCAGTCAAGTGCTTTAGCCACTATGCTACCAGAGCTCCTATATTATATTTAGCATTTTAAAATATATATTCTAACACGCTAATATTCCTTTGGGCAACTCTATCATGTATATATTACACAAATACTAGGCTTTCAAATCACATTCATATTTTTATATTATTCCATTTGTTGTTGTTGTTGTTAGATGCTGTCGAGTTGTCTCCAACTCATGTACCCTATGTACAGCAGAACAAAACACTGCCCAGTCCTGTGCCAACCTCACAATCTCTACTATACACCCAAGCCCATCACTGCAGCCACTGTGTCAATCCATCTTGGTGGGGGCCTTCCCCTTTTTCGTTCACCCTCCACTTTACCAAGCATGACATCCTTCTCCAGAAAATGGTCCCTTCTGACAACATGACCAAAGTAGGTGAGATGAAGTCTGGCCATTCTTGCTTCCAAGGAGCATTCGGGCTGCACTTCCTCCAGGACAGATCCGTTAGTTCTTTTAGCAGTCCATGGTACTTTCGGCATTCTTCGCCAGCACCACAGCTCAAAAGCATCATGTCTTCTTCAGTCTTCCTTATTCTGTCCAGCTCTCACATGCATATGAGGTGACTGAAAATACCATAGCATGGATCAGGCACATCTTGGTCTTCAAGGAGACATCTTTGCCCTTCAGCACTTGAAAGAGGTCTTTTGCAACTGATTCGTCCGATGTAATATGTCTTTTGATATCTTGACTGCTGCTTCCATTGGCGTTGACTCTAAAACCAAGCAATATGAAGTCTTTGACAACTTCAATTTTTTCTCCATCTATCGTGATGCTGCTTATTGATCCAGTTTTGTTTTGTGTTTTTTTTTTTTGAGGATTTTTGTTTTCTTTATATTGAGGTGTAATCCATACTGACTGCAGTCTTCAATTTTCATAAGTGCTCCAAGTCATCCTCACTTTCAGCAAGCTAAGTTGTGTCATCTGCATATCTCAGATTGTTAATGAGCCTTCCCTCAATCCTGATGCCAGGTTCTCCTTCATATATTCCAGCTTCTCAGATTATCTGCTCACCATACAGATTGCTTTAAGTATGGTGAAAGGATACAACCCTGATGTACTCCCTTCCTGATTTTAAACCATGTAGTATCTCCTTGTTCTGTTTGAACAGCAGTCTTATGGTCTGTGTAGAGGTTCCTTATGAGTACAATTAAGTGTTCTGGAATTCCCATTCTTCTCTATGTTATCCACAATTTTTTGTGATTCACACAATCAAATGCCTTTGCAAAGTAAATAAAATATGAGTCAACATCTTTCTGGTATTCTTTGCTTTGAGCCAAAGTCCATTTGACATTAGCTATGATATCCCTCGTACCACATCCCCTTCTGAATCCAGCTTGCATTTCTGGAAGTTCTCTGTCTGTATACTGCTGCAACCATTTCTGAATTATCTTCAGTAAAATTTTACTTCCATGTGATATAAATGATATTGTTCAATAATGTCCACATTCTGTGGGATCACCTTTCTTTGGAATGGATACAAATATGGATCTCTTCCAGTCAGTTGGCCAGGTAGCTGTCTTCCAAATCTCTTGGCATAGATGAGTTACTGCTTCAAGTGCAGCACCCATTTGTTGAAACATCTCAATGGGTATTCCGTCAATTCCCAGAGCTTTGTTTCTCTCCAATTCCTTCAGTGTAGCTTTAACTTCTTCCTTCAATACCATTGATTCTTGATCATATGCCACCTCCTGAAATGGATGATCATCTACCAGTTCTTTTTAGTATAGTGACTCTGTGTATTCCATCCATCTTCTTTTGGTGTTTCCTACATCATTCAGTATTTTCCCATGGAATCTTTCAATTTGCAATTCGAGGCTTAAATTTTTTTCCTCAATTCTTTCAGCTTGAGAAATGCCAAGCATGTTCTTCCCTTCTGGTTTTCCAACTCCAGGTCTCTGCACATTTCACTATAATAATTGACTTTGTCTTCTCGAGCTGCTCTATGAAATCTTCCGTTCAGCTCTTTTATCCTGTCGATTCTTCCATCTGCTTTAGCTAATCTCCATTCAAGGGCAAGTTTCAGAGTCTCTTGTGACATCCATTTTGGTCTTTTCTTCTTTTCCTGTCTTTTTAATGAGTTCTTGCTTTCTCCATGGATGATGTTCTTGATGTCATCCCACAATTCCTCTGGTTTTCAGTCACTGGTGTTCAATGCATCAAATCTATTCTTTAGATAGTCTCTAAATTCAGGAGAAATATAATAATCAAGGTCACATTTTGGCTCTCATGGACTTCTTTTAACTCTCTTCAGCTTCAACTTGAACTTGCATAGAGCAGCTGATGGTCTGTTCCACAGTCAGCTCCTGGCCTTGTTTTGGCTGAAGATACTGAGCTTCTCCATTGCCTCTTTCCACAGATGTAGTCAATTTGATTTTATTCTGTTTGGCGAAGTCCATGTGTATAGCTTCCATTTGTGTTATTGAAAAAAAGTATTTGCAATGAATAAGTCGTTGGACTTGCAAAATTCTATCATGTGATCTCCAGCATTATTTCTATCACCATGTCATATTTTACAACTACCAGTGATTCTTCCTTGTTTCCAACTTTTGCATTCCATTCACCAGTGATAATTAACACATCTTGATTTTATGTTCGGTCAATTTCAGACCGCAGAAGTTGGTAAAAATCTTCAATTTCTTCATCTTTGGCAGTTGGTGTGTAAATTTGAATAGTAATAGTATTAACTGGTCTTCCTTGTAGGCATATGGATATTATCCTATCACTGACAGTGTTGTACTTCAGGGCAGATCTTGAAACAGTCTTTGTGACAATTAATACCATGCCATACCTCTTCAATTTGTCATTCCCGGCATAGTAGATCGTATGGTTGTCTGATTCAAAATGGCTGACACTGGTCTGTCTCACCTCACAATGCCTAGGGTATCGATCCTTATGTGTTCCATTTCATTTTTGACAACTTCCAATTTTCCGAAATTCATACTTCATACATTCCCCACGTTCCAATTATTAATGGATGGTTGCGTCTGTTTCTTCTGATCTTGAGTCATGCCACATCAGTAAATAGGGGTCCTGTAAGCTTTACTCTATTCACATAATTAAAGTCACCTCTACTGTGAGAAGGAAGCTCTTCTCCAGTCATATTTTGAGTGCCTTCCAGACCTGAGGGGCTCATCTTCCGGCACTACGTCGCACAATGTTTCACATCTATTTATAAGGTTTTCACTGGCCAATGCTTTGAGAAGTGGATGGCCTCTTCCTTCTTCCAAGTCTGTCTTAGTCTAGATGCTCCCCTGAAACCTGTCCACCATGAGAAACCCTGCTGGCATTTGAAACACCGGTGGCACAGCCTTCAGCCTCACAGAAACACTCAAGCTATCACAGTAGGACAAACTGACAGACAAGTTTGTCTCCCCTAGCTGTTCTACACTACTCTGCTCATTTCCTGATCACCCCTGCCCTGCTCATTTACCCAGCCTGCCTCAGGGGCAAACACCCATCTTCCACTGGTCCTGGGGCTGGCTTACTGCGGCCTGTGGCCCAGGGGCACACACAGGTTAAACACACGCTCTCCGCTGGTCCTGGGCTGGCTTACTGCTGCCTGAGACATCCATTATTCCATAGATCAGCTAATACCAACAGTCCCTCTTAGTGTTTTCAAGGAGTTCTGATGATGTAGTGGTTAAGGCATTTGGCTTCCAACCAATAGGTCAGTACTCTGAACCCATTAGCTACTCCATGGAAGAAAGATGGGGCAGTCTGCTTCTGTACAGATTTATAGCCTTGGAAATCCAATAGGGGTCACTGTCAATCAAAATCAACTGGATAGCAGTGAGTGAGTTTATGTGTTCAATAAACAAAAGACATTAGCTGGTTACCATGTGCATTAAGACATTACAACTAGTCAACTCACCTTCAACTGCACTAGCAGGATCACATTCTTCAAATTCAATAAGGCCTGGAGAAAATAATTAACAACTTCTAGTAAAAAACAAATAGTTGGTAGAAAACAAATATCAAATCAGATCCCATTACAATACATTTTAAAGATTTTTCTGAAATATTTTCCAGTGTTACCTGATAGTGTTAAATGAAAATATCAGTATTTAAAGTATATTTTCACCAAAAAATACAATAAATAATTTTTAGTATCAGCAATAATTAAGAAATTATTATTTCTTATGGTCAAAATTTACCCAAAATCCCTTTATATGTGAAAACTATAGAACTAGAGAGACAGAAATCTAACATAATAGTTCTGCTTTCAAGAAGCTTACAGTAGACTTGAAAGAAAACAAGCATAAGAGCTAATTGCTAAGATCCCTGATTGTGCCCACGGGAAGGGAAGGGGACCAAGTACTATATACTATACTTGAATGTAAGCTTGGGTCTTTGTGTTGTTAACTGTTGTATCCCCAATACCTAGAATAATGCCTGGTAAATAGAAAGCCTTCTTATTTGCATTTGGGAGCTCTGGTGGCATAGTGCCTAAGGCATTTGACTGCTAACCAGAAGGTTGGAGGTTCAAAGCCACCAGGCACTCCTCGGAAGGAAGGTTGGGCAATCTACTTCGGTAGTGATACTGCCTTGGAAACCCAAGGAGGAGTCACTGTATGCTCAGATTTTTGTTTATGTTGTTAACCACTGTATCCCCAATACCTAGAATGTTGTTATTGTTGTTATGTACCGTCAAGTCGGACCCGACTCATAGCGACCCTTCCTTGGGTTTGTATTGCTAAAACTCACTTTGATATTAAGAAAAACTAACTCTTGTACAGTTCAAATAAAATTCTTAAATATGATGCTTTCATCATCAGGTAGGAATAAATTATGGCTACCAAACAAGCTAACTATAGATTTATCCAAACCTAATTTGTATCAAATTTTTTAAGAAATGTTACAGGACCCCCATGGCTCAACTATCAGCCAAACAATAGACAAGGCCTATAAAGTGAACAATTACAGAGAGAAGTATGCACTCATTAGAGCAATCAACCACATGAGATCAAAAGGATACCATCTGCCCGGGGATAAAGCTCAGAAGGCAGGAAGGGATAGGAGAAAAGATGAAGGGAAAAGCTAAACATGGGGAGGAAGTGGGAAGAGTGCTGTCATACTGTGGGGATTGCAATCAATGTCATGAAACAAATGTGTATGAATTTATTTAATGGAAAACCAGTATGCTCTGTAAACTTTCACCCAAATCACAATTGAAAAACAAAACTGTTACAGAAAGGGAAAAAATATACAATAATAGTATAAGTTTCAGTATAAAAAATATATAAAATGTTTAATTAAGAGTTCAAATTGCTTTGAAGTAAATTCTAACTCTCAGGCCACCTACAGGGCAAGTATACAACTATGTCTAATTAAAAACTGGCCTCAAAACTGAAATCAAACATATTTCTGCATATTCTCAACTAAAATCAAAGGGCACTTGATTTCTAATTAAAGCCAAGATTAAACAAACAAAGACACACCCAAAATCTAATAATAAAAACTATGATAATAATGTCAAGTGGGTATGTGTGGAAAAGGATGATGACAACAGGAGTCAGGGACAGTATTTGTAAGCTTGCTAGTGGACCCATGGAATGCAATACAGCCACATTCCTAAGTGCCCAGGATAATGACCCAGTCAAACATGAAAAAGATCATCAGCTTCAGCTTGTGGCGATATGCAAAAGACGATATGCAAAAGACGCTCAAATTCTAGTTCTACCACTTGCTTGATGACTGTTATTAAGCACTCTGGACTAATTACTTACTCTTTTTAAATCTTGGTTGTATTATTTATAAAAGGGGGATAATAACAGTCATACCTGAAAGGATTATTGTAAAGATTAAATGAGGTAAGTAAATATTTATTTAGTACTGTACAACCCATTCTCCCCCAAAAACTCCAAACTTCTCCCCCCTAAAGCTCACAATACATTCCAATATACTAATAATTTATTTATGTATTATCTGTTTCTCCTTTCCTACACCCCTAGAATATAAGCTTCAAGAGGGCAGGGATCAAGGTCTGTTCTACTCAGTGATGTGTCCCTATGGTATCACAGTGTTTGGCACATGGCAAGCTCGGTAAATTTTGTTAAATGATTAAACAATAAAGGGTTTATAGCCTGTAAGAAACTATGCAAATTTAGACTGCAATTATTCCTGCTAATTATTTAATTAACTGATGTTGCTAACTAAAAACCTAGAATGGACTAATGAATGAAATTATTTAAAAACCCCAAACTTGTAGCCAAGAGGCTACATAGAAGTAAATTTGCTACGTAAAATATCTATGTCAAAAATTTCAAACATTGATTATAATGGTGACATGATAACAATGATGACTTATTAAAAAGAATCTTTTAACTCCTGAAAGTATTTCAGAAGAGTATAATCACACATAAAAGGAGCTCTGGTGGCATAGTGGGTATATGGCTGCTAACCAAGATGTTGGCAGTTCAAACCTACCAGCTGCTCCTCAGGAGAAAGATGAGGCAATCTACTTCCGTAAAGATTTACAGTCTGGGAAACCCAATGGGGATTGCTATAAGTCAGAATCGACGCGAGAGCAGTGGGCTTGAGTTTGGGTTTGGATGATCATATATTACACACACATCTCATTATATTGCTTTGTGCACAGTGACAGATAAAACATTTGTTTCAGTGTTTCTACTACGAAAGCAGAAATGACTTTAGGTTTGGCCAACCATAAATTAGATAAAATTTATCTGTAATAATCTCCACATTACACCCTTTTTTTCTATGTCATTCTTACTTAGTATGGCATTCTTCTCTTAATAGCACCCTCACTTCCCTAAGACTAGCATCTTATTGGACTTGAGCTTCCTCCAGCAAACTAAACCTGAGTCACAGTCTTATGTTTTCTTCCCAACCCATTATCACAGCTTGCCCTATGTCCCTGCTTAGGAAAACTATGCTAATTCATACCATATTAGTATTAAAAAGCTGATAGACTTTATTATCATCCTCCTCAGGGATATTTTTTTCCCCAAATTTTTATTTTTAATTATTTTATTCTTACAGAGAAATTAGAAAAATAATACAATGAAAATCCTTACATCCTTCACCCAGATATACCAAATACTGGTATTTCGACACATTTGCTTCATCTCCCTCTCTCACCATATATACACACATAAACGTAACTTTTTTCATTTTTCTCTTGCTAAGTATCATGTGAAATTAAATTGTAGAAATTAATGGCACTTCACTGCACAAATGCGTATTTTAATAAAGAATCTGTAGAAATACTGTCCTCAATTCAGTGGTTCTAAACCCCAAATGATCATCAGAATATCATAACACACAAAAAAAACAAAATTCATTGATTTCAAGTTCATTCCAACTCATAATGACCCCATATGACAAAGTAAAATAGTCTCAATGAGTAAGAGAAGAAAAATTTTATTGCTCTCCAATTGTCCGACTTCTACAGGAGAACTGGAAACATTAATTTTTAAAGTGAGTTGTGTAATATTAAAATTTGTATCTTTCAACAGATAAGTGACTAAAAACAGACAAAATGTTATTTTTTCTGCACAAGAGAAATAGGTAAACAGTTAGGTATACAAATTTTAAAAATAACCCAGACTCTTGTTCTTTCTTTTTTAAATGTGTCATGTTGTTGTTGTTGTTGTTATGTGCCATCGAGTCAGACCCGACTCATAGCGACCCCTCCTTGGGTTTCCGAGGCAGTATCACTACAGAAGTAGATTGCCCCATTTTCCTTCCGAGGAGTGGCTGGTGGGTTTGAACCGCCAGCCTTCTGGTTAGCAGTCAAGTACCTTAGGCACTATGCTACCAGAGCTCATAGAACTTTCCTATTTTAGGAAGAAAATAATCCACCAGAGGGGGCTCTTATGAAACAGGAGAAATAAAATGTTAAGCGCAATCAATACTGTATCTATACAATTGAAGGTGAGAATACATCTTATAAAACAAAATCCTTCGAGGCTATGAACTGTATACAATCACACATAAAATTATATGAATCTCATTTTTCTGAAACACAAAATTTTCATCATTTGCAAAAAAGCCAATACACGCTCTTTTTCGCTTAAGTAAAACTTGCTTTCTGATCCTTACAAACAAAGTTTCCACCAAATTAAGCCAGGGATCACAGGTTTCAACTTGAATACCAATCCTTAATATTGTCAGTGACTGCCTGCAGCACTGTGATGAGTGGGATTCTGAGGTCTCTGGCTCTTTAAGAGTTCATTCATTAGACAAATGGGGGAGATGTGGTGCAGGAAAGAAAACAGCATCTTCTAGAGTAAGGACATTAAGGTAACAAAGGTACTAAGGGAAAAAAACAGAGGGCATGGACAGGAAACATCAAGTAGTTCAGGTTGGCTGCATTGAAGGATACCAGAAAAGGAATAATGGAAAGTAAAACTAAAGACTGATCAGAGCCAGAATGCAAGGTGAAAGGCTTTGAAGCCAAGTTCAGAGTCAAAATTTCATTCTGTCTCCAATGAAAAGCCAAGATTTAAGAGCAGTGACACTACATGTTCTTAACTGTACAGTCTAAAGATGAATGTTCTATAAACATAAAATGAAGAAAAAATTTCTACTATGCCAGTATGAGAAACCGGCTAAAAGGCTGCTACAATTAATGAGGCATGCACTTAAGAAAAGCATGGGTCCTCCTCCAGAGCAAAGAAGAATGAAGAAAACCAAAGACAAACGGAAATAATTAGTCCAAGGGTCTAGTGGACCATGTGAACCTCAGCCTACGTGACCCTAAAACAAAAGAACTAGCTGGTGCCCAGCTACCACTGTCAACCACTCAGAAAGGGATCAAAATAGAAGATCCTGGATAGAGTGGGAGAAAAATGTGGAACAAAACTGAAAATACAAAAAAAGACCAGGCTTACTGGTCTGACAGAGACTGGTGAAACCCCCGAGATTATGGTCCCTAGTCACCCTCCAGGCCTA